GTCGACGAAAAGTATCTATTTAATATGTGCCTAGACGAAATGAGGAGGAGAGACGAAGCAGGTGCACGTTTCGCTAATTTTTCTAATTTTTCTTACTTTACATTACTGTGTCGATAAACATACGAGTGCGAACAGATGTTTCCTCACTTTTTCTTCGCACGCATACTTTGTCTATTGATAGGATATTTCTCTTGTTTCTACTCCTTCTCGTTTTTTATACATTACATTAAAATATAACCACCAATCTCGAGGCTTATGTTATACATGTTATACATATACACATGTAGATTTTACATCCGTAATGACCGTTCGAACGGTCTCGCGGTGCGACATGATTTTTAGAAGAGTTCCGAATTCAATATTATGTACTTTCGCACTTTTTCGTGTAATTGACGATGCTGAAGCGTAACCGCTGACAAATGCGATCGACAAGACACTTTCGAGAATAGATGGTTTTATTAGCGGCGAAACGATTAAGGGTTACGCGAAACGATCGAGTGTAATTCGATGAGAGAAAAGCTCGAGAAGTTATCGAGAGAAAAAAGAGAAACGTTGGGCAAGGAGGGAACTTTTGACATCCTGAAAAAACATATACATTGGCATTGGCATAAAGATGGTACTTTTCTTTATGACAAATATAATCCTCCTCGATCGTCTTGTCGACGCGATCCTTAAAATTTGTTCGATGCGCGCGGTGCTTTTGTATTTTGCTCGCGTACTTGCGTACTTCGGTACTTCGGTGTCGCGAAAGATCACGGTTGAAAATAAACTGTTGTCGAGCTGTACCCTTCGTTAAAGGTGCATTCGCGTTCAGTGATCACGTCGACGAACAGTTTACGTAATTAATCGGCAGCCGTTCGAGACGTTTCGATTTCGCAATACTCATATTTTCACAAGAACGCGAGCGTATAACTCGTTCGGCGCTCCGCGCGTCTGATACTTTAATGAGGATAAAAACGAGAGAGCAGCGTGAACAGCAAAATATCGCTTGGTTTCACAGCCATAGTTAGGAGACTCGATTTAAATCATGGACCCTCCCGTGCGACTCTTTGGAACTTGGACCGTGAGCGCGTGCCATTCGCAGCGATCGCGGATAATGTTAAACTCGGAAGTCTTCTAGAGACATTCGTAAAACCGATTGGTCGAAAATATATTCTAGGATCGTTTAGGGTACAAAGTATAGCGTGAACAATTATCTTTAGACAATTGTAACGGTAAAAATGGACATTATCTTATTGCGGGATGGAATAGGCTGTGTAAGCTCTGTCAATGCTATGTGCTCCGCTGCAGCTTTTCGAACATTGTTTCTCTCGACAACACAAGAAAATAATAACATTTTGCTATCGAGACCACTTGTAAGGCCGCGATTAAAAAGGTAATTCCGAGATTATCATTCTCTCCGCTCTTTCTTCCGCATTTTCTTTTTTATTTTATTATTTTCTTTCGTTGTTGTCTCTCTCTCTCTCTCTCTCTCTCTCTGTATGTGTGCGTGTGTTTTGTGGGAAAAAACAACATTAGTCTAAATGTAATCGGCTTATAAAGAGTTCGGAAAAAATACTATTCAAGAACTGATCGATAACATATAGAGATACGCAGTGGAAATATTGTGTACGATACGGATCGGATTTCGAGCCATTTTTCTTACATCACATTGTATGCTGTCCGCGTATCCACAAAGTAGGAACGGCAAGAATAAATCTTGCTTTACAGATGATACACGAGTTCCAATACGTCGAAAGGAATGCAAGTGTCGATTGCATTGTACCAAGAACCGAAGAATCGACGCGTAGTGATGAAAAATTGCACAATTTATTAACACGTTATGCCGGACAGGCATGTAGTATCACTGTGACATGTGGACTCTTAATTTGTGTTCCTTCCTCAACAATCTCGATTACTAAAAATGGACAGATGCCGCTAATTGCAAGGTTTCCTTCTCGCAGAGATCATTTTCATACGCAAAACTGGGTGGATTGTCTACCATGATAAGGAAACCGTGCGCCGCAGCGATTATTATCATTATCATTATCATTATCATTATCATTATCATTATTATTATTATATATTCCATAAATATTACACATACAGTAATATATTTATTATTGGTAATATAAGTATTGTTCTAATTGGACAGGAGCTGTTTTCACAATTTGGGCGAATGTATGAGTTACCTTAAAGGTTAATTGTTTACTTTTTGTCTTTTTCATATTTCTTTACGACACATACTATTTCGTAAAGTAAGAGAAAAATATAGTAGTTTTCACCGTTTGATTTCACGCGAGACGTGGTTACATATGTAGTAACTTTTGAAATGAAGACGAATTATTTAATTCTTTCAAGTGGTAAAAGTAATTCATTAATGAGCAAAAAACCGGTTACGTTACCGGATATGGCATATATATATATAAATTGTCCGCTCTAACGTCCGTGCTGTGCGTGAATAAAACAAGTAACGTAGACCCAAATATTTATCGATGAAAAAGCTAAACGCAGCTGAATACAGGTGCTATGCAATTACTACAATGAAACAAGCTCGTTTATTTACTTTTTACTACTTAAATCTATGAACCTAATATTGCGGCTCTATTAGATATTATATTTTTGAATTTGCAATTTGTTTCTTAATTTAACAACGATATTTAAGAATCAATTTGCAATCTTCAAAAATGCATTACGCATTTCAAATGCAGTGTATAAATTAAGGCGTGTCATGTTCACGTGATGGGATAACGCTGACAAAAGATGTATATTACAATAAAAAGGAACTTAACGGATCGCGCGCTAAAAAAATACAATATATGAAACAATTGTATACATATAAAATCTTTAAATAATCTACATAACGCGGTAAAATATGTGTATGCGAAACACATTTTCCGATATTTATTCTTTCATTGGGCACACACACACACACTTTTCCAATCTATAAATTACCATATAGTAATTTTGGAAAGTGTATCGTCCAATGATCTGTAAAAACGACAGAAAGACTTAATCGGTGTATTATCGTGTTTATCGCGTCAACACGGCTGATTTCATAAATACAAAATATCATTACGTGGAATATGTACAAATTGTAATTGTCGCATACATTTCTGATCGACATACCGAGAGAGTAAAAGAAAAGATGTCTTGCTAACTTTTGATTAGTTTAGAATGTACAATTAAATCTCGCAAAGTATATTTTCTTTTTCTGGCATAAAACAAGCGGATGTTAATACCAGTCGTCAAAATAAACTCGTGGAATGCTAAAATCATAAACATCGCTGACTTTCGATACATGGCGACAATTATGCACGGGCCAATTATGCCACTTCTCTTCTTCCCTCTCTACCTGAATAGCGAAGTGGATACGCTGCTCATAGGATATAACGGATCATAAATATCCTATGTCTTGTGTGTGATATACATTAACGATCTAATATTTCAAGTATTACTTTATAGTAATTTCAATAATTCATAGCTGCCCTAAGGTCTAAAAGACTGAAACATTGCTGGCTGCTACACATATCATATAGGCATGTAGCAATTAGGATACTTATATGGTGGCTTTTATTAACACGAAGTAATGGTGAAGCAGTGTGTGATCCGTTTACTTGCCGCGTGGAAAAGAACGTGTACCTGTAGTAGAGAGGCCTTCTCCTCGACTGCGACTTCGGTGCAAGGAATGTAATCCTTCACCTGAAATATGATATTTGTTTCAACAAATATTATTATTTTAACAACGTATTCAAATCTAATAGAATAATGCGATCGATGCAAAATTACCCTTGCTAACGCTCCTGCGCATTGACGTGGATGATGCTGGTGCCGTTTCTTGCTTGGTGTAGCTTCTAAGCGCTCTTCCTCGTCTATCTTGAATTAATTTGTCCATTTTAACGAATATACCACATTTCGGTCGACACATGAAATATCTATGGCCATTGACAGCACCATCGTTCTTGCCTATAAGTGAATGTGATATTAATATTTTTATATAATATTGAGATATATATATATATATATATATATATATATATATATATATTATATA